GTGATTAAGTTAGTCAATCCTGTGCGTGCCGGTAGTTTAATTTGAAGTACAAAACGCGCGAGCCGCCGGTATAGGAACATAATTTTCCACAAGGATGATTTCGCCGCCGCCGCCGCCGCTTTTGTGCACCGCGTTTGTTCGTTCGCTGAATATAATAATATTTTACGTGTCTGGCCGCGCGGCAAAGCCATCTGGTGATGTCACGCCACAACAATTAACGCTAATTGTTGGCAAACCACTGCGCGCGCCTATTTTATATATTGCAGTGCTCAAGGGGCCGCTCACATTAGATTACAAAACACAATAAAAACTACATCAAAATTAAGGACATTTATATTTGCGCTGACCAAAATCAACACAAACACAACCGTGCATGCGGGTAATTGTATAATATGCAACAAACACAAGCATAATTAATACACAGTTTTTTAATACCATGTACGGCGACCGTGTAAACGAATTTTGACCTTTTATATTTATTTTGGAAAAATAGGTAAATATTATAATTCAAACAATTTGTTAGCAAACTATTTAATTGCTTTAATTAATGCGAAAAGTATGAGAAATTTTTTATAAAATAAAAGAATTATAAATTATTGTAACAATTTGAACTGAATTGTATGATAATTTGTTTTTAACTCTAAAAAAATTAGTAATTTTCTTGACTTGGCAACAGATAAAATATATTTTAAAAGTTTTCATTGAAATAATTTAATAAATTCCGCAAATTTAAAAATTAAAATCTCATTCTCCATAGCAGAATTGATTGTTTTAAAATATACAGTTTTGTTCGCCTTTGTTGGAATAAACAAAAAATTTTCTCCTACATTAAAGTCTGAGAGACATGCTTGGAAATCATAGAGCATGAGAAAATAACACGTCCGCTGCACTGCAGCATGAAAAAGCCACGCGTTTTCTTGTGAGGAAGTCGCTCTCGTAGCGGAAAATGTAACAAATTCAAGTTTATATATAATTCTGACAATAAAAAGCGCGACTCATTGTTCGAACACATGCAATTGCGCTCTTCATTTCGGCTCCTTTGTGTCCGCCGTCAAGTGTGTGTGTGTGAATTTGAAAGTGAATCTCGCGCCAAATTAGATAACTCGCGCGCCGTTACATATATAAAAGCCATGCATGAGCCTTTCGTTTATATTATCCATGCACATCTCTCTCTTATATGCTCACTTAGCTGCAAATAATAAAAGCCCAAATTGCTCTTTTGCACGACGCGAGACACTTTCCTGCGCACAGATAACAAAAGCTGCAAATTTTCACCGAAAAATATACACATGAGTCATTTCAACTCCTGACTTTTGAGTTTATGACTCATGACGTAATTATAATTATATATATTGATTTCGCTTCAAATTTTAGCTGCAAAAATATATGTGAAGATTAAAATTGACTTCTCCTTTTTGCTATATCAAGCATAGTTTTTAAATTTTATAAATTATAATATTGATCCTTTTGCGATCCTTCATAATATTTGCCCTTCTCAAGTTCTCCATAGGAAGCCCAGGTTGACGGGCGGAGGCTGCATAACTTCAAAAGTTTCAAGGTTGTTTGTACTTTGCACTGCTCTTCTCATCGAACCAACAAAACAAAATCGGCAATAACTGCAATTAAAATTGGAAATTAAAATTAACAGGGGACAAAATTTATACTTGCATGTATCAAGAATTCAACATTCTGAATTATGTAAATTTTTGCAAGAAATTTGACAAAATTACAAATTTTTAAAATCAATTAAAAATGCTATAATTTTTATTATTAAGAATATAAATCTCTCTTTACCTTGATTACATTTCCTTCATTTCCTCATGAATAAATAACAGGATTTTAATGATTATTTTTTGATGTGTGTCACTTCGCCAAACTTCAATTAATAGCTGAAAATTAAAGAATAATGGAGTCAGGCAAGATGATTTTATTATTTTTGTCTTTGGTTGTTATAATGCGCGGCGATCAAAATAAATTAGAAATAATTTTCGCCTTGTTCTCATAAGTGGGCCAAAATTTATATGGAGCAAAAATCAGTGGTGTTTATGATCGTGGTGGGCGATTATGAAACGAGATACACGCGAAAAAGAGCAGATCAGGCTTCTTGAGGAATTATAAATTCCTGAATGAAGACTTTCATTCAAAATCTGTGCGTGAGATCATTTCAGGTGACGAGGCGACAAGAATGCGACCTGGGTGGCTCGGCCGGTGACGTCTCGATATTGAGTATCACTGCAGCGCGAGAGTGACACTAATCCCGAGACCAAAGCTGCCCCCCTCGCTGCAGAAAGAAACTGAGCCGATATTTTATAACTGGTTCAGCGTGGAGGGCAAAGGCAAAGAAAGGCCCATTCACAGCACAAAAATCACTCACCAGATCAACCAGAATTGATAACTGCACTTTTCCGCGCCTAAACACGAAATACGATCAAGCGTAACTTTTAAAATAAAGCATATATTTTATTATGGTTTTGCCAATCTTGGGTTGATCAATCAAAATTTCAATGGTGTTTTGTTTTATAAATATTACGAACCAAATGCAACCTAAAACCTAATTTAATTTCATAAATTTAAAGATACACAAATATGTCAATAACGCAAAAAAGTGTTCAAAGTTTTTGATAATGATCAAAAATTTGTCATTTAATTAGAAGAAACGTGAATTGCTTTGTTCGAGGATAAATCTTTGATCTAAATAGTGTGAATTAATAATTCTCATTTTTTTGCCTTTGCGAATTTTTTTTATTAAAAATCTAAAAAGAAGTTATTATTATGAATATTTAATATGTTTTTCCCATAAGGACTATTCACTATCTTATAAAAATTTTCAGCGCAATCAAAAAGTTGGCATATTTTTGCTAGAATTTTTTTTGTTCCGGCGTCCTCTATATAGAATGACATTTTGATCTCGGAACTATTTTGACCTTTGCAGGGCTGAAGATTAGCTAAAAAGAAAATTTTGATTCCAGCCCCATCTCATATCTGCATCTCAAATAGAACCTGAAATATTAAATTTTTAGGTTGAAACTTCAGTTGTTGTTGCCAAATAGTTTTCGACTTTTGCAAGTTTCTCCACCCCGAAATTTGTCGGTTTAAATTACTCCTGTTTTTTTTTTTTTTATAATTAAAAAGAAGATCCATATATTATCTGCTCAGTCGTTCTAATAATAAAGATTTAATGAAATTGTGGGCAAATTTTAATAAATATTTATATAAAAAAAAAAATTACTCTACGTTCATATCTTCTCTTTATATTAAACAAAAACCTTTTAGCCTTTTGAATGAAGCTTTTTTTATTTTATTTTGTGAGATATTGCTTTTCAAATTTTTACCAACAATCAAAGCTCCTCTCTCTCTTTTTGTCTGCAGGTGTAGATTTTCATCCCTTGTTTTTCCCTGGATGTCTCCTATGATCCAGTGTGAAACTTAAGAGCGCAGATATCAATTTTGCGCGCGAGTGTGCGGGTGGCCTAATCAGTCACTCGATGCCTCTCGCCTATGCGCGTCTCTATATCAAATTTGGGTTTTGATTGAGAGGGGAGAGAGGGTCGTTCGTTCATCGCAGCAAGAGGGACGCGCGCTGCAGTAAATTATCATTAAATTATTAGTGCGCCGCACACACCTGGGCGCACCAAAACCGCACCGCTCGCTTATAGTTTTGCACCAAACCACATCCCTTCTCGTGCGCCCATCATGACACAAAATACGTACACACGCTCCTTATACTCAATTTTAAATATATATTGTGTTAAAAAAGTTATCCACCGCCTTTCCGGCAGGAAGTGTGTAAATATATGAAGAACTGCATTAAAATTGATGCGATTAATTTATATTATACTTTTTTATTCCTTTTTCTTTGTAGCTTTAATTGAAATCATCAGAATAATCATTCATCGTCATCATATTGTTATTGTTGTGTCCTTTCTTATTCAAAAACCATTGTAAACCAGACGTATATGGTATAACAAAAATTTGTATTCTTTTTAGATTTTTTGCTATACATTTTAATAGTTTAAAAAAAAATATAGTAATCAAGCATTTCTAGAAATGCTTCATTTTATTTCGCATGCTAAATAATTCTAATAATTTCTGTCATATGAATGAAGACTCCTTTCATAATAATGATTTGAATTTAAAGTCGGCTTTACCCTTGATGGGGTTTTTTTTGTGAGTGTTTTAATTCTTAAGAAATCCTTTTGGCTGCGAGCTGCAGCCTTAATTCATGAGCTGTGAAATCATTTTGACCGAATCATTTTGACAAACTGGTTCTTAAACAGTAAAAAAACTCAAAAACCATTGAGGAAAAGCCGACTTAAAATTCAAAATACCATTAGTGAAATTCTACTGCAATAAAGAGACTCTTTTATTTACTCAGACGAAATTTTAATTATGCTTCATTTTTATATGCTTATAAAGATGCTACAAAACGAACACGATTTCTTGTCTGTGGTTTTCTTTTTTTATCAGGGTGAATCATGAATTTTTAATTTGTGATGAATTAAAATAATTTATATTAGAAATGCTGATTGCTTAATATAACACTTAAAGCTTTCTTTTTGTGCAGGAAACAATGTGGATGGAAAAAGAGGAACTTTTATTCCGAGGGAATAGTTTTGAGGATAAAAGAGGCGCCGAGAAGATGTTTCTTTTTTTATTCGTGACGACGGCCGGACGACGGCGTGGAAGAGTATTTTATTCACACCTAAGTACAAACGACGATTTACCCCCTCCCTCGGTCGCGGCAGGAGCGATCAAAAGGCTGCGCCACTTTGGCGCGGTAATCGCGCTTTTAAAACTCGCGTTTCTCTCACGATTGGTCGCAAAAAATCGGTCGCCGTCTTGCCGCGTCCGCGTCGGGGCCGCCGCGGGCCGCTCCGGACGCGATTGGCCGAAAGGAGGAGTCTCGGCAAATATGGCCGCCGCCGCGAGTGGCGGGGCGAGGGCCGCCCCCTCCCCGCCGCCGCCAGCAGCGGACGGAGGCGGCAGTGCGAGCTCCGCCGCCGACCGGCACACACACGCAGCTCCGTCCACTTTGGCCGCGCACGTGGTTCGCTCCGGACACCCGTCCATGTTCTAGAGCCATGACCGTGGACAACTCGGTGCGGCGCAACCTGAGCAGCACCCCCTCCAGCAGCAGCAGCAGCAGCAGCAGCAACCTGAGCAACCCCTCGAGCAAAGTGGCTTCGTCGGACACGAGGGCCGCCGCCGCCCCCGAGTGCAGTTCGGACGAGGAGGACGCGGGCCCCGTCCAGCAGCTGTCCTCCTCGGCCAAGGCGTCCAGCAAGTTCATGATCACGGACATCCTGCAGTCGGGGGGGCGCGGGGGCCGCGAGGGCCGCCTCCTGCACCCTTTCGCGGGCTACCCTGAGCTGCAGCAGCCGCAGAACCTGTCGCTGCGCGGCTGCCACGACCCCCTGCAGCTGCACCACCGCCTCGGCGGCCCCCTCCTGCTGCCCCCGCCCCCGCTCCACCTCTTCGCGCCCCTGCACCCCCGCGCCGGCCCCGGCCTCAGCCCCGGCGCCACCAGCAACAGCCCCGCGCCCTCCGACCACAGCTCCGACACCGGACACGACACCGACAGCGGCCTCCCCGGCGAGAACTCCTCCGTCTGCTCAAATGGTCAGTTTAATCACGTACGCAATTAACCCTCCAATTTATTCCTCACCAGAGGGCAAATTTTACTATCCCAAAATCAAATTATTGTTGTTTATTTGTCCACAACAATAATAAATTCCTCGGCAGGGTTAACAAGCAACAATCGAGTGCCTACTTTTGAATTAAAAGGTTAAAAAATTGCAAGACAGAAGATCTTGGTATTTTTGATTCAGCCTTTTTTAATATCTAAATTAATGAATAATTAAAATCACATATTTATTGGAGTGGGGGTAAATCAGTCTGCATTTTCCTTAGGGGGTGCGATGTCACCCTTAAAGTTTGGTGTGCGGACGATAGTTTTTTTCTCAAATAACGGACAATACAGCCATTTACAGTGGCCTTAATAATTTGTTACGATTAAACTATTTAATGAACCATTGCAGAATTTAATCTTAAATTAAAATTTATGATCAAATTTTAATAGCAATTTTATAATTAGGTGCTTAATTGATATTGTTTAAATAATACAAATTTTAAATCAATTCTGGAAATGAATTGATAAAATTATCATTAATTTTCTTTTATTAATTCAATTTCATTGTATAATTTTTTGCGGTATTCTTGTAATTTTTCTATGTCAATAAGCAAGGAGTTTACTGAAAGTTGCATTTACTTTGTTCTAAGCGAGCACATTTATATAAATTCATCCTAATAAGAATCTCCGCAGCCGCTTGATCTGAAGCAGGAATTTGTCATTTGGAAGAATTTTCCGTGCAGAGCGAGGATGAGTCATGAGAGCGAGCGTAAAACGATTTGTGCAGGGAAGTACCCCCGCGGCCGCGCGCAAAAATTAATATATTTCCTGCAATCAGCGCTTTTCATTTTAGCCTCGGCGGCGCCTCCATTAGCGCGCGCAGGGATTTTCGCCAAACCCATTTGGGAAATTTGGCTCGGGAATTTCCACCATCGTTTATATAGTTCTAAAAAAATTGCCGCGCGGAAAAACGCTCCTTTTATTTTTATAATTATGTTATGTGACGAGTCAAATGTTCCAAACGCACAATTTATTATACTTTCTTCAATTGCTGCGCAGAGAACGCAAACAATTGAAGCAGGAGACTTTAATGGATGCGCCAGAGACAAACACGCACGGCGCGTTCAACACAATTCAACTTCAATTGTTTCCAACAGTGACATAAGAAAAAGTTTCTGGTTCAAAAAAGTCTCAATTAAGAATTAATGAAAAAAAAATTAATTCAAATTAATATTCAGTTGTGAGATTTCAGAATTCAAAAGGATGACAAAATTAACTGTTATAATCTGATTTTTAATTGTGTTAAGCAAGGTGTCGAGAGAGGCTTTGTCACCAAATTTGAGATATCAAAAAAGGGGCGTTAACCAAAATTTTGAGGCCTGAATAATAAACCGAGAGATTTTATTTTTATTTTTCATAACTTTGGAACGGTTATTAAAGTTAGAACAATGATGTCAATTTCAAACTTTGCTATTGAATTAACAGTCGTAAACTTAAGAGGGAAAACGTCACTTTCTGTAAAGTTTGTAATAAAAGTCAAATTTTGACGATGATACAATCCTTGATTGTTTTGGTGGTAAAAGAAAAAAATGTAGCCCGTGAAATTTTACATCGGTCATGAAGTTTTCAGAATTTTTTTTCGTTCCGGAGATAATTAAGATAAATTAATGAAAGGCGTGCTTTTCCGAGACTTTTATGTTTGGATAAAAAGGTTGGAAATGCAATAAATAATCCAGTTTTTTTACAAATTTGAAGCAAAATTAGTAATTTTTTGGATGAATTTTAAATTATCTATGTATGCGGCTAATTTGATAAATTATTTGTTTACTCGTCTGGTGAGGTTTTTAGAGTTATTATTAGCTCTCGTGACCGCAGAAAAGCTGCTCGAGGCGCGCACAGAGACAAACGCCTGAGATGCTTTTGTTTCGCGTCCGTCGATCGCGCATCAATAGCCGCTCTATATTTATTACTAGCGACATCGAGCCCCTCTTAATTTCGATACTCTGAAGGGAGCCGCGCGCACGTGACCCTTTATTTGTTCCCTCCGCTTAAGCACTTTATAATTTGGCGTAGAAAGTGCCGAGTTGAGAGGGTGTTTATCGCGCGCAGGGGGTGCACAAACACACCCCAATCTGCGAGACGACCGCGCCGCAACCTCCTCTCGGTCTATCGTCATATAATAGCCGCTAATTGCGTTGCAGACCATTTTCTCATCACTTTTCACATATAAATTTTACAAATTCATTACTAAACTTAATTAGTTCCAATAAGAAATTTGTCCAATGTAAAATTTTAATATTTATTTAAAATTATCAATTAAATGCTAGTTTTTTTCTCGTAAAATATATATAACATTATAACTTTTTACTTTCTTATAATTTAATTAAATTTTACTTCAAGTTAAGTGGACTTTTTCAATATATACATATGATCCTGCATGGAAAAATGGAAAAATTGCAGGGAAAAACAAATTCAACTGACGAAGAAATTAATTTTGATTTTAATTTTTGTTCAAATTTATTTTATACTTTTGAGTCTGCATTTGGCACAGCTGTGACTTTGGCCATTCAATTGCCACTCTCAATTAGAGGCTTTTGAAGCGCCTTTTCTTCTCTCCATACGCATGTGAGATCTTTTTTTCTTCTCCGCATTTGATTGTGATCCGAGCTCTTGACAGAAGTGAAACTTCATCGTTTTAAATAGCCGGGCCGAGCGCACAAAAGCAATGAAGTCCTTAATAGATTTAACTACTGTGCGCGCCTCCGAAGAAGAAGTAGAAGTTAATATATAATTTTTCTTAAAAGTCGTTAAGCGTTCGAAACGAGACAAGTGGGAGGATCAGAAGCTGTAGTAATTATTATAATCCTGCCTTGGTGTGAAGGTTTTTAAAATGACGAGTTTTCATACTTGATACGCAGGCAAAAGATGTGATTGGCACCTTTTTTGCTCACAAATTCTTATTCACGACGAGACAGTTTGTCAATAAATTGCGCTGACACGTGTTCAACCAGAGAGCAAAAACTTTCCTTGTAGAAAAAAGTGATAAAATGTCACTTTTGAGGCTCCATCACATTTCTGTAGGAACAGGATTTATTTGTACAAATTGATTCTTTCAACAAGAAACGTTTCCATCATAAAAATACTTTTATTTTCTTGTTTCGATTTTCTCAAATTAAGTGGGTTTTTATCAGAAATTATATTAATTATTGTCCTTTTTTTAGTTTCAATTTCTAATTTCAAACGGACTTTACGTCAGAAAAATATACGCGTATTTCAAAACTGAAAAGAAATTACATGGGGAAAATGTTATACAAAAACTTATATTGCAAATAAACTTATGTTATTAACAAATTTTCAATTGAATGAAAATTTTTTCAGAATATCTGGCGTTTGCTTTTACCGTTATTTGGTTTTATAAAATTAAGAAGATTTTAATTAGGCCGAATTGAATACGCAGGCGGCGCGCGCGATCCGGCCAATATAAATAAATCTTGTGAAGATGCCTTCGAGAGGCCTCTTTTGAAAATTTAATTATGTTGCTCGGGGCGCGCGTGAATCAGCATAAATTCGGGCCCTTCACAATTAAGGAGCGTGTGAACATTTATAACTTCTCCTCATAATAACCATGATGATTTACGCGTTCGGTAGCCGAATTTCCTTTTTCACGCCGCGCCTCATATTGATTTAATTTTCTTCTTTGTTGACCTTTTCTTCATAATAGGCCTTTTCAAGCCTCCAATATCAATTTTGCTGTTGACTTTGCCTATTTTCACCTCATAATCTCTTCTTTTGCAAACTTATCAATCTAGAAACTCTAGGCTTTGTTTTTTTTTTTTTAAAGTACAAAATTAAGTGTTGGGCAAAATTTTATTCGTGATTCCTCCAAAACTGGTATTAAAACTTATGTAATCTTTCAGAATTGTTTTATGAAGATTTTAGAATTGGAATAAGAAATCAAGTTGGTGAGAAACCGCAAGGACTAGAATCGCGGCCTCGGGGCGAATTAAAAGTGGCATTTATAATAATTATATGTGACAAATTGAGGTTATTTTCTGCAATATATAAATGCGAGATCTTATTTGTTTGCTTGATCGATGTGAAGGGTCGTGCGCGATTATTCAATGAAAGGAAAAAGGCATTAGAAAGGCTGCGCGCATAAAATTGCACCACAATCACTCTTGTGTATTAATTAATTCAAAATTAAAACAATCTCAATGAAAATAAAATTCACTCCTTTTCGTTATTGAAAGAAAACAAAAATTCAATAAGCTATTTTTTGTAACCTTGATTGGGGGAAAATATAAGGAGAGGGGACGCGCTTATTTTTTTAATTCCAAACCTTGATCTGCGCCTTTTCACATATTATATTAATCCTCACGCGGACAAAAATATATTTGTTTGATTGCGTTGAATGGGAGATTTGTTATCAAAACGATCTCTGTGAAAATATCATATTAAATGCAAAGCGCGTGATTTAAAACGCATTCGTCAACTGTGAAAACGTGGCGCGCGGGACAAAAGAGAAGCACTTTGGGACGCGAGAGAATAATGAAAAGGTGTCAACATCTGCTGCAGATTTTGACGCCGATTGTCCTCTCTCGGCGCGCTTATCCGATTATGCCATTCAAAAGTCGAGAGAGAGACACGCAATTTCAACTCTCACACACGTCAGCAGATCAGGAAATTGCGGCCGTTGCGCTGCACAAATTGACTCTCTAGCGGGGCACAAAACTTTATCAATAATTTGAAATTATATTTCGTCTTTTAATCAATTTGAGTCAAGTGCTCTTTCCCCCCATGTGATGTATTTCGCTTTTTACAGGAAAAAAGAGGGTTTGATCATAAAATCGCATTCATCGGCCTGGGGAAGCTCTTTATTATTTCGTCTCCGCTTTTTGTGCAGCGCCGAGACGACTTTTCAACAATATTTGTCAGCCGCTTGACTCGTTTTCATACAACAAATGCTTTCCTTTCAAAAGCCTCAATAGCA